AATTTCCCATCGCCTAGTGATGTATCCATCACAACATATTCCTCATTCCTGTTTTGTGGTGATGCTGGTATAAACAAACCTCTTGCATTGCCAGTTGTATAAAAGTATAGCACATATAATTATGTATAGTACATAATACTTAAAAATGGTAAGAAACAACCTTGTTACTGTGTATGTATTTACTACTATACTATACTACACTTTTTGTCATTAGAGTGCACTCTTTCTACTTATTAAAAAAAAGTTTGCTGTAAAACATTAGGCCTTGTTATGCCAGCAGTAGACTCACAGATCTGGTGTTTGCCACTCTCCTGATCGCATCATTCTCTTGTGCTTGATTTAATCTTGTGTTGTTTATAAATTTAGTGTAGCCTAAGAGTGCAGTGTTCAGTGTAGCCTTACTGTACAGTAGTGTACACATTCACTCAACAGTCACTCAGAGCAACTTCCAATCCTACAAGCTCCATTCATGCTAATAGGTGAACCATTTTATACCACATTTTAGTACCTTTTCTATGTTTAGATACACAAATACTTACCACTGTGTTACAGTTGCCTACAGTACTCAGTACAGTACCATGCTGTACGGGCTCTATCATGTAGTCTAGGTGTGTATTAGGCTATATATACAATCTAGGTGTAAGTGCACTCTGATGTTCGAACAATGACAACATCACCTAACAATGCATTTCTCAGAATGCATCCCCATTAAGTGGCACATGACTGTAGATCTCTTCCAGCCTGGTGGCTCTAAAGACACACTCAACTAACACCCTGTCCTGTGGTGACTGTTGCACAACTCAGGCAAAAAAAGTCATTTTTTATTACTCTCCTCTCTTACCCCATATTTAATCCATCTAGAACTCCAGTACGATCTACTGTCAAAAGAGATCTAGAATTAGCCTGGCTGGCATGGCTCAGTGATGGATGGTGGACCATTCAACCTATGAACCAGGAGGTCACTGTTCGATTCCCGGACATATGCCCTGGGTTGCAGGCTCCTGGACTTGATGCTCAGTGTAGGGTGTGCAGAAGGCAGCCGATCAATGATTCTCTCTCATCATTGATGTGTCTATCTCTCTCCCCTTCTCCCTTCCTCTCTGAAATCAATAAAAAAATTTTTTAAAAAAAGAAGAGGTCTAGAATTAAATTACTTCATAGCAATTCGACTGGCCACAACTTGGTCTAAACCATCTGACCCCAGGATTACTATTATAGCCACCTAATTGATATACGTGTTTCTGCAGCAACCAATGACCTTTTTAAAAACACAAATCAGTTCACATCACTCCTCTGCTCAAATGGCTTCCCATTTCATTCAGAATAAAAGCCAAACCTCCTTAAAATACAGTGGGGCCTTGACTTACGAGTGTCCCGACTAACGAGTTTTTCGAGATAAGAGCCGTCTCGGCCGATTTTTTGCTTTGAGTTACGAGCTAAAATTCGGGTTATGAGCCAGCTTCAGATACCCCACCGCTAGTTGGCACAGCGAACGTCACAGTGAATGCCACAACATCAGCCCAGCATCACGTGTCTCACTCGTTCACTTCTTTTTTTTTTTTTTTTAAATATATTTTATTGATTTTTTACAGAGAGAAAGGGAGAGAGATAGAGAGTTAGAAACATCGATGAGAGAGAAACATCGATCAGCTGCCTCCTGCACATCCCCCACTAGGGATGTGCCCGCAACCAACGTACATGCCCTTGACCGGAATCGAACCTGGGACCCTTCAGTCCGCAGGCCGACGCTCTATCCACCGAGCCAAACCGGTTTCGGCATCACTTCTTGATTTGACATACGAGTAATTTCAGTTACGAGCTCCGTCACGGAACGAATTAAACTCGTAAGTCAAGGCCCCACTGTATCTACAAAGTTCTTTGTGATCTGCCTCTCCGTTTGCCATCACTCACCATAATTTCTGAGTTCATCTGTTAATCCTCATTTTAACTACTCCTTTCCAGCCACAAAAGCTTTCTTGCTGCTCCTTAAGCTTAGCAGGCACACTCTAACCCAGCCGTGGGCAAACTACGGCCAGCTGGGCGGATCCGGCCCGTTTGAAATGAATAAAACTATTGAAAAAAAAGACCGTACCCTTTTATGTAATGATGTTTACTTTGAATTTATATTAGTTCACACAAACACTCCATCCATGCTTTTGTTCCGGCCCTCCGGTCCAGTTTAAGAACCCATTGTGGCCCTCGAGTCAAAAAGTTTGCCCACCCCTGCACCTCAAGATCTTTGTATTTTTCTGTCCTCTTTGTCTTGGAACACTCTTTATCTCACATCCTCATATCTATATTGTTTAATACCTTACCTCCTTGCTCAAATATCTCTTCTCAGTGAGGCCTTCCCTTACCATCCAATTTAAAACTGCAAACTCCCATAACACTCTGTATCGCCCTTCCTTGCTTTATATTTTATATTCTCTACAACACTGCTAATATTCTCACCTCCTAATATATTTAATATTTTACTTATTTACTGTCTCTTCTTACAAGAGTTTAAGGGGAGACAGAAGAGTGGTGAAGGGCACAATGAAAGTAGCTTATGCATTGAGCCTCATTTTTCATGTAAGAATACAGTAGGTAATACATATAACACAAAATATGTGTAATCGACTCTTTATGTAATCAGTAAGGCTTCCAGTCAACAGTAGACTCTTAGTAATTAAGTTTTGGAAGAGTCAAAAGTTATACACAGATTTCTCACTGCTCAGGGGTTGGCATCCCTAACCCGTGAGTTGTTCAAAGGTCAACTGTAAATACAAAACTACTACAAATTACCCTTAACTATTTTAGAAAGTTACTTACATTCCACTAGGCCAAGAGAACAAAAATCAGGTTTTTACAAAGCCAAAAGCATTTAATTAAATAAACTACATATTATGCACTTCAAATGTAGTCTTCCTAGAGCAGGGGTAGGGAACCTTTTTCCCCACCATGGGTCATTTGGATATTTATAACATCATTTGCGGGCCATACAAAATTATTAACTTAAAAATTAGCCTGCTATATTTGGTAAAACATTTAATTAACTCACCCCCAATGCCTTGGCAGGGCCAGACCAAATGGTTTCCAGGGCCTTATAGGGCCCATGGGCCAGACATTCCCCACCCATCCTAGAGCAATCATTTTTTTCCCTTCTTAAGATATTAACAATATTGATATTGACACAATATCAACAGCAGAGGCAGAAAAATTCTGGCTCTAGTATGGCTGCCTAGAAAAAATACGGTAATTGTCATTTGTAATCCCACAAGGCAGGGATGAAAACCAATTTATTCTTGCAAATGATGTAACCATACAGTTAAAGCACCAGAGCCCAAAGACAGAAAATGCTAAATACTTTCATAATTTAGTAAAAATGTTTTAAAACACAAAGAATATGTTTAAGAAAAGAAGTCCTCCACTCACATGAGCACTGCTTGCTACCACTGGTATACCAAGTACATTAAAAAATAATCTTGAAAACATTTTACAAAGTTAAATGTGGTCATTGCCAACTGATATGGTAGAGTCAAATCCCAACTCCACCATTTTATTGTGTAAACTTAAGCAACTTAATTAACACTTCTGAGCCTTAGTGTCCCCATCTGTAAATCAGTGATTAAAAATTCTACTTCTTAGAGTTGTTTTAAATGATGAGGGCGAGGCACATGGCAGATATTTAATATGAGAGGGTCTCTGATAACATATATTTGATTTTGTATGTTCTAATTTGACCTCTTCGAGAGAAAGTAACTTCAATCTGCTTTTGATAAGTACAGAAAGTAACTTCGATCTGCTATTGGTAAATATAGGTAATCCCCGTCTTGGTTCTACAACCGTTTCAGCTATATTATTTAAAGAGCCACAAAACATCTCTCCCAACAATAACTTCATATATACAAATGATTTTAAGCTTGGGCCTATGATTTTGCATCCATCTGCTCCCTAAACACAAATCAAAACACTACATAAGCAATGGCTGCAGTGGAATAAGAATAACTGAACGGTGGGTATCACTGGTGACCAGCGATGGACAGGAAGCAACAAAGGTCTAAAATTCAAGCATAGATGGATTCGGGATTAATCATCTCTTCTTAGCAGGAAGCAACAGTGACTTCTCCACACTTCCTTCTGAAAGACGTGACACCTTCTGCAAACGATCCACGCTTCCTGACAGTTTACCAGACCTCTTTTCAGCAGTAAAGCAGCAAAGTGGAAAAACTCCCCAATGAAGACAAAAAAGTCATAACCAGGGGAGTGGTGAAGGTACTACTCAAACAGCACCCCCAAAAGAAAGCGCATTTCCTGATTTCCCGTTTTGATTATTACACATGAAACCAAACTCAATTCCTTAAAAAAAATTTTTTTTTGCAAGTGATTTGAAAGCATCGATAATACTGACGACAGTTGTTTCCGGCCAGTATCGAAAAGCCCCGCAGCAAACACGGGGAAACCTCCCAGGTCAAGTCGCTTCAGCTCTAAGAGGAACTCATGTTCCTTAACATTCATCCAGGTAAGGCCCTTCTCATTACACATCACCAGTTTAGATCAGTTACAACAGAGTGATCCAGCATATCCCAGCGAAATGGGTGGGTTTACTACCGCTTAAACCAGAGCCCGTCCATCTTCAGGAAAACCAGAAATCATTAACACGTCAAGGCCTCTCCTAAGAGACAAACGGACGCGACAATTTCCGTGGAGGCTCAGCAAAGTCCACAAAACCGCACCGGGCTCTGCGAGGACATCGTGCACAAATCCCTCTAGATCTGGGGCCAACGGCCCAAGGTCACACCAGGTCAGTGGCTAAAACATCCGAGAAATGCGAAGCCTCCTGCAATTTAGGAAAACCCTGGGAGGAATGGAGTCTGGGTTGGGGAACACTCAGGTCAAAGCTTTAGCCATGAACAGCCCCACCACATGCAGCGGCTCCACGGGAAAACCCCACGCGAGTCACGCAATTATTTCCTTCATGTCCCCAGTCTTCCCGGCCCCTAGGCACCCCCAACACTCACATCTCCGGAGCCACTTCATCCAATGGTAGACGATAGTGGTGTGGTGTTTCTTGTTCTCTATACACCAAGACGACAGGCCTTGAATAGATTCCATGGTGTTGGTTACCGACTGGAACTTTCGATCCAACGAGGACTCCAGAGCCCCTGCCGAAGAGGCCGACGAGGAGGAGGCCTTACTGCTGCCTCCGCCGCCGCCGGCCGCCATCTTCCCGGTTTGCACAAGCGCTGCTGCTCCTCTGGCGGCGGCGGCGGCGGCGGGAGCGAGCAAAACAATCACTGCGAGTGCGTGGAGGCCGGAGGTGGGGAGGGAGGCCAGGGGGAGGGGATGGTGCACGCGCTGGGCTCTTCTGGCGGCGGGACGGGCGGACCAGCTGCTGGGCACGCTGGCGGCTCCTACACGCTTCGAGGAGGGGCTGTGGGTCGCGAAGGTTTATCAGAATTGCTCAAGGGGTTGTGTTTAAACCAGTCAGTAACCAAGGAAGAAGTACGCGGAAGGCAGGTCCTTGCAAAGCCTTTCCAAACGCCTGGCCCCCCAAATCAATGGTTTTCTACTCCGGCTCTCTACGCGGAGGCCCTTCCCCACGCCTATCCCCACGCTCCTATGAGGGCGGGCGTTAATATCTGAAATGTAATACTACCCGACTGCCCCTTCGGTAGCAGAAATCTTTCTCCTTTAGATCCTCTAGTACAGAAAAGGCCCAAGGATGGCTAGTCAGGATTTTTTTTGCAACGCAATAGCCAGGGGACAGCAACAGTATCGCGCACGCGCCGCGTGGTCCCTCCCCTCTCTTCTCAACCTAGAAAGCAGAGAGGCCGTGATGGCGGGGCAAGCTGACCAATCAAGGGAGAAGCACGAGAAGCGCGCGCAGGAGCCGCAGGTCCGTAGGGCCGCGGAGGCGCGTCTATGATTTCTGCGCGTGCGCAACCCCTCGGCGTGTAGCGGGCTGGGAGGAAAAACGGGGAGGGGAGGAGGAGGGAGTTGGTCAAACTGAGAGGTTGGGGGAGGGGGCTGCCCCGCCCCGCCTCGCCTCGCCCTGCCTTTTCCTCCCTAGTGAGATCTCTCTCTCGGGGCTTCCCATTTCACAAAACAGGGCCGGGAACGCCCACCACTTAGCGGCCACTGTTACTTTCTGGCGGCTGCAGCCGCCGGGCACTAACTCCTCAGGGAACTGACGCACGACAAAGTGGCTGGCAGCCATCTTGCAGTGCCTTGATGATGCGCATGCGCCAGCTCCAGCGAGCCGTTCTCTGCGCAGACTCCCAGACCAAGCGATAGTTTCCATTACCCTGGGACCATACCATTCATAGCCATTTGACTATATGAATTATAGGAAGATGAAGCAGTAAATGAAAATTTCCCGGTAAAAATTTCTTTTTTTAAAAAAAATTGATTTCAGCCCTACCCGGTTTGGCTCCGTGGATAGAGCCTTGGCCTGCAGAGCAAAGGGTCCTCTGTTCGTGGTCAAGGGCACGGAACTCAATTGCAGACCAGTTCCCCACCCGGGTCCTGGTTGGTGTGCCTACAGGAGGCAACCAGTTGACACGATAGTTCTGTCTTTCCCTCTATCTTCCCCTCTGAAAAATCACCCTCTGGTGAGGTTTTTAAAAAAAAATTGACTTCAGAGAGGAGAGAGAGAAAAACATCAATGATGAAAGTGAATCATGGATTGGCTACCTCCTGCACGTCCCACAACTGGGATGGAGTTGACAACCCGAGCATGTTCCCCACTAGGAATGAGCCGTGACCTGGTTCATAGATCTATGCTCAACCATTGAGCCACGTGGGCCAGGCTCCCCCTAAAATTTTCAAGACCAGTAAAGGTTAACATATCTCACCTTGGCCAGTTAAGACAATCTCACAATTGCATAATACATTATAGTTTACAGGAGCCTTAGATAGCTAGTATATTGCTTAGCACCACCTAGATTAACTGTTCTATCTCATCTGCCATGTAAATCCTCTGAGCAGATTTGGAGGCTTCTGTGTCCCACTGAACACATGCAATTATTATATTTTAATTATTTTATGTCTCCCTAGTAGAATCGTGTTTCTTGATGCAGGAAACCTGTTTTGTCAAGCTCATATCTAGTATTCATTAATTCAACAAAAAGTTGTTGAACATGTGGAATGAACCATTCTAGATGTTGGAGAGTAACAGCAAAACAGACAAAAATTCCTTCCCTCTGGGGCTTAGTGTCAGGATACCGTAAGCAAATATATATCAGGGGGTAGTAAGGAAGTCTATAAAGAAGTATGAAGCAGGTTAAGAGAGGCAGAGGGCATAGAATGGGTGATCCTGTATGGGCATAGGAATGGTGGTTTGGTGAATCAGGAAGGAAGTGATACTTGCTCTTGTTAAACAAAAATTTTAACTTTCACAGTCTTTAAAAGAAAAGGTTTATTAGGCCATTGCTACAAAAAAGACTGATTCTTGGGGTTGTGAGCCTAACCACCACCAACATGGCTAGGTAAGAAAAACATGTCCAATGTCCTTGGGTTTTGCAAGCATTTTTGTTTTTAATCCTCACCTGAAGACATGCTTATTAATTTTAGAGAGAGAGGAAGGGAGAAAGAGAGAAACATCAATGTGAGAGAAACATCAACCAGTTGCCTTCCCATATGCACCCCGACCAGTCATCAAACCTGCAACCTAGGTATGTACCCTGACCAGGAATCAAATCCAAAACTTTTCAGTGTATGGGACAACACTCCAACCAACTGATCCACACTGGCCAGGTCTGCAAGCATTATGCAGTACATTAAGTAGGGGGAGTAAGATACAAATCCTTCTTAATCCACTCATCTGCTGATGGGCACTGAGGCTGTTTCCAAATCTTAGCTATGGTGAACTGTGCTGCTAAGATTTGGAAACAGCCTAAGTACCCATCAGCAGATGAGTGGATTAAAAAACTGTGGTACATCTACACAATGGAATACTGCGTTGTGGTAAAAAAGAAGGAACTCTTGTTATTTGCAACAGCATGGATGGAACTGGAAAGCATTATGCTAAGTGAAATTAGCCAGTCAGAGAAATATAAATACCACATGATCTCACTCATTTGTGGAATATAGAGAACTACATAGACCAGGGGTGGGCAAACTTTTTGACTCGAGGGCCACAATGGGTTCTTAAACTGGACCGGAGGGCCGGAACAAAAGCATGGATGGAGTGTTTGTGTGAACTAATATAAATTCAAAGTAAACATCATTACATAAAAGGGTACGGTCTTTTTTTTTTTTTAGTTTTATTCATTTCAAACGGCAGCATCCGGCCCGCGGGCCGTAGTTTGCCCATGGCTGACATAGACTGATGAACAGGGACAGATCCAAAGACAGAGAAACAGCGATCAGACTATCAATCCCCAGAGGGAAAGTAGGGGAGGGTGCGGGTAAGGGGAGATCAACCAAAGGACTTGTATGCAGGCATATAAGCCAAACCAATGGACATGGACAGCAGGGGGATGAGAACATGAGTGTGTGTGTGGGGGGGGGGGGGGGAGGGGGTTGGGGGTTAATGGGGGGATGAGGACACATTTGTAATACCTTAACCAATAAAGAAATTAAAAAACAAACAAATCCTTCTTAAATAATTTACGTTAGCTATAGACAAAGGGGATGGGAGAAGGTGAAGCTGGGATAGGAGCAGCGGAGTCCACAAGAGTCTGTAAAACTCATGTGTAAACAAGAAGCAGAGACTCCTGGGGTTCAAAATGGGAGGGGGGAGGTAAGAAATTGGCCAAACTAGCTATTCTATCTTTTTAGGTAATTTGGAAATAGTCACCCAGAAGTCCCAAGTACACTGAGTGCAAGCAATCTTTTGTTAGTTTTGCACTACAGATGTTAACTGCTTAACCTCTAATTGTCTCTTCCTTCCACCCTCTGGCCTGCTGTAGTTTAATTTAGGTTATCTCATAATTTTCTCCTTGTCATTCTGAATGTTGATAACAAGATAACAAAGCAGATATGGGGGAAGGGCAGAAAGAACAGCAAGTGCAGCCCTGACCGGTTTGGCTCAGTGGGTAGAGCATCAGCCTGCGAACTCAAGGGTCCCAGATTCAATTCCGGCCAAGGGCATGTACCTTGGTTGCGGGCACATCCCCAGTGGGGAGTGTGCAGGAGGCAGCTGATTGATGTTTCTAACTCTCTATCCCTCTCCCTTCCTCTCTGTAAAAAATCAATAAGGTATATTTTTTTTAAAAAAAGAACAGCAAGTGCAGAGGCCCTAAAATAGGAATGTCTTGACAGACAAAGAACAAGGAGGCCAGTGTGGCTAGAAAAGAGTAGGAGAGGGGATAAGTGGTAGAGGTCTAAGAGGTCACTATTAAGGGCTTTGGCTTTTAACTCTGAGATGAGAACTCCTCTAAGCAGAGTTTTAAGCAGAAAAATTACATGGGAAATATTTTGAAAAGATCACATTGGGCCCTAGGCGGTTTGGCTCAGTGGATAGAGCGGCCTGCGACTGAAGGGTCCTGGGTTCGATTCCAGTCAAGGGCATGTACCTCAGTTGCAAGCTCCTCCCTGGCCTGGGCCCTGGATGGAACAAGTGAAGGAGGCAATCAATTGATGTGTCTCTCTCACATGGATGTTTCTCTGTCTCTCCCCCCCCCCTCTCCAAAAAAATAAAAAAAAGATCACATTGGTTGCTGTTGAAAATACACTTCAGAAGAAAAAAAAGAAAATAGACTTCAGAGCCCTGGTTGGCATGGCTCAATGGTTAGAGCGTCTGCCTGTGCACCAGAGGCTCATGGGTTCAATCCCCAGGTCAAGGGCAAGTGCCTAGGTTGCAGGTTCGATCCCTGATCCCTGCCCTCAGTGGGGGCAAATGGGTGAGGCAACCAATCAATGTATCTCTCTCACACTGATGTTTCTTTCTCTCTTTTCATTCCACCTTAGCCCTCCCTTCCTCTCTCTAAAAATCAATGGAAAAAAATATCTGCCCTCCTTGGGTAAAGATTAAAAAAAAACAAGACTTCAGAAACACTTAGTTAAGGAGGCTGTTGGAATAATCCAGACAAGGAAATGATGGAGGAGAAGCCCCAGGCCCTGGAGGGGAAACTGGGGGGCAGTCATAGGCCCACTGGAGAAAAACAGAAACAGAAGAGCTTCCAGGGGGAAATGCTGGAATCTAAGAACACTGCAAATGAGTTTAAAGTTCATGCTAGTCAAGGGGAGAATAATGAGCTATAAATCTTGAAGATACAGGTTTGTACCCCTAGAAGTCTTAGAACATAAGCCCCAAAGGGTGGGGTGTGTATGTTGGGATAAGGACCACCACCTCTGTTACCTTCCTGGTCCCAGAAGGTGATAGGTCTTTCTACGCAGCTCAGGAAGACCCTAAGTTGAAGGGCAGCTAAAGGACCCAGACAACCAATAAAGAACTGAATGAACTTAGAGGAAATATGTATGAACTAGAAGAATGAAGTGGCCATTTTCTCAGATGAACCAGGGGAGGAAAGAGGGAAAGGAGCAGTCATGTGAAAAATGAGTAGGAATCAGGATTTCAGGTACGGATATCTTGAGTTTGAGCTATCAGACACATAAATGGCATTGAATATGTAAGTATGAAATTCATGAGGTCTAGGTAGAAAATATAAATTTAAAAATTTTCAGTATATAGATGGATCTTTAAAACGATGAGATGGATGAGGTTGCCCAGGAAGTGAGGTTCTCTAGACAGAACTATAGTGGAGACATATATCTCTGACCAGAAATTGAACCCACAACCTTGGCGTTATTAGGACAA